ATCTCAGTTTTACTTATTTTAGTACATCAAGTAGGGTGAAAATGAGAAATGTTGCCTTGTTAACTAGCTGAAATAAAATATATATTTCAAAATGTTTTGTTTAATTAACGTTTATTTAATTTCAATTAACAAAAATGTTTTTTAATGCTTTTTGTTAACTATAATAACCCTGCTGTACACTGATTCAGGTATTATTTTTAATAGTATGCAGTATGCAATACTCATGTATTTCATTCCGAACATAGCCGTTGAGAGTGTGTTCAGGGCTGATCCATCGATGTGAGCTGGTCCTCTACTTAATTACTTTCAGATGATTCTCAGTAATTGAAACCTAAGGCTCATTAGGCAACAGCGTTCATATATTTCAAATATTTAGCCATGCGAACAGGAATGTTCCAAACTCTCAGTTGTGCTGTAAATGTTCCTTAAGCCTATACATTTTGCTTTATGGTAAGTTTGTAACATAGAAAATAAACATCCCCCAAGTGCCTTTTTAATTTTTTTCCCATAATGGGATTGTTTAGAAAAATTCACGCAGCCCTTTTCAATGATGTGTCCTTGGGTACCGTGAACGTTCTCCCGGCATTGACGCATGGCAGCCTGATTTTTGCTGTGCCAAGCGTCCGTGTCCTGCTGGTGGCAGTGACCTTCCTTCCCTTCCGAACAGTGACTGTCCTGACCAACAGAGTCATGGGCCCTGGGAGAGGAACAGGCTGATCAAGGGGAAATATTCATACTCATTCCATTCACTGACACAGGAAACAGGTCAGTGAAAATGTGTGTGACTTTAAAGGAATAGTTCACCCAGCAATTAAAATTTGCCAAAAAAAAAATGTACCCACTTTCAGGTCATTCAATATGTTGATGAGTTTGTTTCTTCATCATATTTGGAGAAATACAATATGTCCCCTATATGAATATTATATAGACCTATTGTTTAAATCAAATTTATGCTTTAAAAATAGGGTAATCATAGCAGGTTTCATCCATAGTTTGTCCGTTTAAACGTCTGCGTTTAGCTTCAAATGGCGTCTTTGACGACAGTATTCTGTAAAAATGATTTGCATTCTGATTCTGACATCCAAAGGCACAACGATACATTTTTTCTCTTATTCCATGGATTTTACCTGTTTCCCTCCACTTGTTCCCAGTGTTTTTCTGCCACCACAATGCGCGCGCAGCTGCAAGTGACGTAACTGTGACGTCTACTCCAAATTGGTCTATACTAGCACCTACTGGTATGGATGCATGAAGTTTTTGCTTTAATAATTCATATGATTGTCATATAAATTATGACCCACTTCATGTAAAATAAAACAGCTTTTTTTTTTACATTTATCAGACACTTTTAGCCATTATTTTAGTATCATTACTATAATATCTAAGTATTTATTAATATTTTGAATAAGTTTTTATTTTTGTTTCCCTTTTACTTCCTTAAAGTTTCCAAAATTTAGTTGTTTTAGTTTTTTAATATTTTTTTTTTAATGTTTAAATGATAATAAATGTTTACATTTAGTTTTTATTCATTTTTATTTCAGTTTAGTCATTTTAGCGAGAAATGTTGCCTTTGCAACTAACTGAAATAAGTTGTATATTTTATTTATTTTTTTAATTTTTAACTCACGTAATTACACAATAGCAGTGAAAATCATTCACAGTTGTATCTATCCTTTCTTTATAAGAGGCTGTAAGGGTCTGTGTTCTTAAGCAAATGATACAATAGTGGTTTTGGACTCATAATATACTGACACCTACTGGTGTGGATGCATGAAGTTTTTGCTTTATTAATTCAGTCATATGATCTCCACGAGGGACTCCCCACTAAAAAATAAATCAGCTTTTTTTAAACATTTATCAGACACTTTTATCCACCTAAAGTGCATTGAAGGCACATATTGTATCAGTATTTATATCCCCTGGGAACGAAATTCATGACCTTAAGTGTTACTAGTGCCATATTCTACTATATTTTTTTTAAGTACTATTAATTTATTTTGCTATAAAACCTTTTAATTAGCATTCTCGCCTCTATCTCTGCCACCATCTACAGTTTCATCACTTTCGCAGTGATTTATTAGTCTATTATACCTTAAGTTCTGCTCAGAGGTGGGAGTCTTCTATATCACCTTGGCAACCAGAACTGGGATCTGCATGGGGTCTGAGATCAAACTAAACCACTCAAATCCAATCCTCAATCACGGTAAGATCACGGTAAGATCATAAGTCTGGCCAGGCTCCCGGGGCTGGTGACGGGTGGGTGAGACGGGCAGGAATGTGTAGGAGGTACAGGGATGTGGTCTCTCTCAGATCAAAACTGTGAGTCTCTCTTAAAGCAGCTGTGCATTCAGTGACAGGCGAGCTGAAGCAGGTGTACATCTACATATAGAAACTACTGAGGACGTCTGCCTGCTAGGAGAGAGACAACCTTTCAGCACAGTGAGTAGGAGCTTTTATTTGAAGTATTTGAAGTTGAAGAAAGACAGTGTTAATTTGAAAGGTTTTCTGAAGAAAAATATCTTAAATATATGTATGTAAATAAATATTAATGTACGTTGCGTGTTAAACTACATTTAAAGATATAACGAATGCAATTTACCATAGTTACAAAAAAACATTGTATGTGTACAATGTACAAATATATTAAAAATAAAAATAAAAATTCTGTCATCATTTACTCACCATCGTGTCGTTTCAAGCACATATGATTGTCTTTTTTCATAGAAGACATTCAGTAGATTGTCCAGGCTGCTCTTTTCCTTACTATGAAAGTGAATTGGGACTGGAGTTTTCGAGGTCCACAAAGTACAAAAAAAGTATTATGAAAATACTATAAAAGTAGTCCATATGGCTTGTGCTTTATATTACAAGTCTTTTGAGGTCATATGATAGTTTTGCATGAGAGAGAATTTTTTTTTATTTAAGTCACTTTCATTGACAATATTTCCCTTCGCCATATGTGAAATCCCAAATGTGCTTGGGTATCGTTCCAACATTTTGCACAAAGTTTAACATCAATGACATTAAAGCTATCACTTTTAATTAATTTACTTTTTTTTTTTTTTGCATTTTCTAATTTTAGTTTTAATTAACAATAAAAACAGTGGCCATGACATTTCCGAAGATGTGAGAGAAAGAATTTGAAAATTAAGGAACAAACACCTGTCAAAGTCAGATGCAGAGTTTTATCATGCTTTTACCTCACGTAGTTAGACATTAGTGGTGAAAATCGCTCGCAGCTGTACGATCTGTCCTCTGTTTATAAGAGGCTGTAAGGGTCTGTGTTGGCTCTTACAGTCTTTTATTAGTACAAGATGTGTTTTAGGATTGAGGTATTCCACCCGGAGCGAGGACTCGTCCGGAATGTCTGCCTCCTGCTGCGGACAGAAGCAAACATACACAACGTATTCGTCATTTGAGGGGCAAATGCACTCGAACTACTTGCCAATGCATATTTTCAGTTCTAGATGAAGTATCGAAACTGTATTGATTTCAGTTGTGATGTTTTCGTGACATCTGCCCTTTAAAGATGACATCAAAGGTGACCCCTTTGGCCTGCAGCTGTGGGTGGTTTTCCTTCTATCCGCCCCCTTCCACTTTTCCACTAATGTAGACCTCAGAACTCCTATAGCACTGACCGCAACTTGTCATTACACCCATCTTCACTGTAACACATGGAAACAAGGTCTTTCCGGGAGGCCTTTATGTTCTGTAGGCGTCCTATAGGGATTCTGGGGCTGAATGAGCTTTTGTTCTCTGAACATTAGTGAACATTAGCAAACATTTGCATCCGTAAAGAGCAAGTGTGTTAATCGGTTACTCATGGTGAAATGTGTTTGCGGGCAGAGGATGGTGAGAAATTATGAGGTGCCAAGATTGTCGCATCCATGTGTTTCGTGGATTCATTCACAAATACGTCATCAGTGTCAGGTGAGTCAGCACACAGGATGGTCCCCAAAGCCACAGGAAAGTGCTCTTCCCTGCAGTCAGCTGACTTCCTGTCTCTCAAAGGTTAATGCCAATTCCGCCAACACTACCGGCAATGTTGCGTAACATCATTATTGGCTTATTTTAGAGTTTTAATGTACTGTTTTAAAAGTTAATATTTTAAATCTAAGCTCTAAAAAGTTTGGAGTTATTTTCAATGCTGACTTACTCACCCTGTTGAAAAACCCAGCATATGCTGGTTAGGTATGTTTTGAAGCATGGCTGCTGGTTTGAGCTGGTTTAAGCTGGTCCTTAGCTGGTCATGAGCTTGTTTAAGTTGCTCATGTGCTGGTCCTAAGTGTACTTACAGGCTGTGAGTCAGAAGCGCCAGGCTGTCCTTGCAAAGTTGGAACTGCCCCACATTATAGAACAGCCTTTGAGCACAGACGCATTGTATGCTAGGCTACTCTGCAGGTTCAGGAAACAGTCCTCCATAAAATGCGTCACACAACATCACACACAGTGGGCTTGAGTGAGGAACGGCAGGCGGACTTGAGAACGGCAGCTTGTAACACTCCAAAGAGAAAGGAAAAATTGAAATCGCATTATATGACCCCTTTAAGCTATTCCAGAGTAGTCTAATAAAATCAAGTAAGAGTTTATGGCAGCCTAATGTAATTCACAAAAGTATATCGTATTACCATGATTTGTGTTCAAAAACATGGTATTAACGTGATATATGTCAAAAAATAAATAAAAAACGTGGTAGGCTACTATAATGGTACCGCGTTCAAAACCAACAGTAATATTTAGGGTACCTCAGCACTTTTTGCTAGCCAGAGTTTTCAGGCATGCTGCAGTTTTACCCTCATAATGTGGAAAATAATAAATATAGCAAAGGAAGGAATAGGCAGAAAATAGTAAATATCATTCTCCATATTATTTCAGAGTGATATGTGTATAAGGCTCTAAACTCCTGCAGGTCTCTCTCGGCTCTGTTCAGTAGAAACGCTTCTTCATCCCCAGCGGAGAAATCCGGACTAAACCAACTCGCCATGTAGGGGGGACAGGGGGCACATTAAGGGAACTCTTCTGCGTTTGCACCCAAAGTAACGACTTTGGCACTTTATATAGACTTAATCCAGAATGATACATCGTATAACATCGAGTGGTCTCAAATTTTAACGTTACAGAATAACGAACTGCGTCATTTATACGAACTCGCACCCCTTTATATCCACAACTACATTTATCAATCTGAGGGCCGAAATCAGCACACATTCAATCATTGATCCAGATGAGCCAGCTGGGCACGAGCACTACTCGCAAAACGCGAATGGGGCGTTTCAAAGACGTCGAAACTGATAATAGCCTGTTTTGTTTTGAAATAGCGTTTGGGACTTTGTAGTTATGGGGTGTCGGCATCCGCTGGATGGATGGGTGGACGCTACGTGGTAGTTTATGAGTGATCGGACCGGTGTGCTGAACGGGTTCAGTCCGATCTATACAGGTCAGTGTTTCCTTAAACAGATTGCGATTAGTTTGTGTAACTGTTCCTAGAATGTAAAGCGGAAGCGGCTTTGTAACATACACCACTGAACGATGATCCGAATCGCATGTTTGAAACAAAGTTTAAACGTTCTGTGGAATGCTCAAAGTATGAGTGCTTATTGTTTGTTTTCTTTTGTTCTATTTCGAATACCAAGGTCATGGGTTCGATTCCCAGCGATCACTTGTACTGTAAAAATATATTTTAGAAGCAAATTTGACAAAAGTTTGGTAGATGCCGGAATGTAAATGTTCAAATTTATTTGTGTAAGTATATTGATAATGTAACAATGAATTAATCATCATGACCATTTTAATGCTTGTAGAGGATGTGATTATGCAACTGGTTGTTTGTATTAATAGAAAGTCATATTTTCTTCCTTCCTTCCTTTTGAAAGTTCCTTCCACACTTTTTTACTTTTAAACTTCTAGCTCAGCTGGTAGAGCATGTTTCTAACAAGGCCAAGGTCATAGGTTCGATTCCCATGCGTTATCTGTTTTTTCTTATGATAAAGTTGTGCAAAATTCATACCTGTAAGTGCTCTCATTTATGTATAATGTAACAAGGTTTTAACTTGCTTTAGAACATTCAGAGTGAGTTTGAAATTGTATTAATTGTAGTGGTTTTCTGTATTCTTAGGTCTGAAATGAGAAACATCACACGTCTATTTGGGGCGACCCAACCTCAATGGGTCTCCTGGCTGCGGCTCTTGTTTTCGATGCTCTTTTGGACCTGTTTAAAAGCACAGCAGTTAAAAAACGCTAGATGGCCGCTGTATTCCGGCAAGCCTTTGCTTTTGGCCTGGAACGCCCCTACAGAAGACTGTAGACCTCGACATGACGTCACCTTCCAGTTAGATCAATTCCAAATTGTGGCGTCACCGAACGAGGGCTTCACCAAGCAAAATCTCACCATTTTTTATCAAGACCGTTTAGGTATGTACCCGTATTTTGAGTCAGACAGCACTCCAGTCAACGGCGGCCTACCGCAAATCGCCAGTCTCACACAACACCTAGAACGGATGCCGGAAGGGCTCAAGAAGTACATCAAGGACCCGACAGTGAAAGGCCTCGCTGTGATCGACTGGGAGGAGTGGCGGCCCCTCTGGATACGTAATTGGGGCCCTAAAGACATTTACCGCGATCGTTCGCGACGGTTAGTCGCGGAGAAAAACCCAACTTGGCCTCAAGATCAGGTGGCCAAAGTGGCCCAGCAAGATTTCGAGCTTTCTGCACGTAAGTTCATGTTGGAGACGCTTCGATCAGCCAAGAGCTTACGGCCCCAGCAACTTTGGGGTTTCTACCTCTTTCCAGATTGTTACAATCACAATTACCAAAGTAAGAACTACACGGGACGCTGTCCAGATGTGGAGGTGACCAGGAACGACCAACTAAAGTGGCTGTGGATGGAGAGTACAGCTCTGTATCCTTCCATATACATGGCAAATGTGCTGAAGGACCAACCGGCCGGACGCCAGTTCGTACGGAACCGGGTCAAGGAGGGCATGAGGTTGGCTTCTGTTGGGAACGGGTCAGCCAGGCCTGTGTTTGTCTACACGCGGCCCACTTACCAAAACAATCCTCCAGCTTCTAACGGCAACCTTCTTGAACTCCTGCTGTTGACAGAGGTGAGATTTTCGTAAGGTGATGCTTGTGTTGCTCTTGGTGTGGCAATGTTTGATTTTCCTCAAAAAGAGTGTTAATACTGGACCAGTGTGGGTGCTTGTTTGTTGAAGTTGACCTGAACCATAAAGTAGCCTAGTCGTGCACAACATATTGGTATCATATTAGTTATCGGTCAGTACTAGAGTTTTTGTTTTTAGTTTATCAGTTTCGGGTGATATTGGATATTTAATTGTTGCTCGTGGTTATTTGCTCTATTTTTACATTTAGATTACCTTTTCCTTCATCTAACACCTACTGAAAGTTAATCTTACTTTTTTTTAAATTTAATAACACTGGTGAATGTAATATTTAGCAGATCTCAAAATGAATATCCATTTTTAACAATTATACTGTATATTATAATTTTGAGGCCTAAACTTGTGGCAATTAAAATAATGGAGTTTGATTTTCAGTTCATTTATTTTATTTTAGATAAAATATTTTGGAATTGTAATTATTGGCTATTTATCGGTTATCGGCCATAACTTGAAAATAATTATCGGCTTATTAGTATCTGCCAGAAATCTTTTATTTGTTATATATATATTAAATCTATCATACATTTTTTTTTATTGTTTTTAAAATTTAGGATTAGTTGTAATGAAAACAATTGTAGTCAAAAAAATTCTACTATTAAATTATATTATTAAACAATAAGCATAAAACACAAAACTCATTTGAGTAATTTTACATTCTAGAAGTAAGTTTAACATTAAAACATTGTAATGTATGGTATGAACAATTTATATTAATTTTGAGATATGCATTTACATTTTACAGTGTAAAATTAAAAAATTAGAATATACATTATAAGATTACATTTTACAGGGTTAAATTATAAATGTTTTAAAATATAAAGTGTTTTAAAATGAGCATTAACAATTAAATATCTAATTAAAACATTTCTAATATTGGCCAATAACCGATATGGTTAACCGATATACCGATATGCTGTGTAGTCATTTTGTTGACGTTTTAATCTAAAGGGACACTTATTGTAGGTTCCTGAGGTAAGTAACCTGAGATCAGTTTTTGCAGAATTTAAATGTTCCACCTTTTGGATACCAGCCCAGATCTTTATCCTCAAAAAATATTATAGGCAGGTCCTGCAGAGGCAAAACCCAAAACCTGAGCTACGTTTGTCCAGCTGAACCGATCTTTGTGATGGTCTGTTGGCTTCTGTGGCTGTTTGAGGGAAGTTCAGCTGTTTCTGAGGTGTTCGTATTTCAGGAGTGCAGTGTCATGGTGTGTTTTTCCTGCCGTTGAGCGATGTTCCCAACGGGATGTAGGTGCAGAGAATTTAAACAGACTGATATATGTTGCAGCTTGTCTTAAATATAGCAAGCACACATGCAGAATCTTCTCAGCTTTCTGGAGACAAAGACTCATCTGTGTTCCTCATCGAGTCTCGTCAGCTCTGTAGAACAAATACCACAATGCCATCAGCAGCTCGGATGACACGTGAGGCCCTGAGGTTTACTGGAGCACATTCAAAACGAACCCAGAGCTTCATGAGCAGAGCAGTTAAAGTTCGGTATTCAGGTCAACTCGCCTGACACCACTAAATGACTAATATGATTCTTAATCTTTTCTTTAAAAATCGATCCAGATGTAATTATAAAATGCAATTATTAAACAGTGCATTAGAAAATATTATACAAAGTAATTAATTCAATTCAATTCACGTTTATTTGTATAGTGCTTTTCACGATACAAATCGTTGCAAAGCAACTTAACAGAAAATTAAAGTTTCTACATTACATTTAGAAGTTTATCAGTGGTGACTATGTCAAGGTGATGTCTATATGGCAGGAATGTACAGAAAAAAAATCATCCAGTTAGTTACTGACAATTATTTCCTAATAGAGTAAAAAAAACTGTGTAGAAAATTGATTTTTTTACTGCATTTAAAAAAAAAATGTATTTGGACGTTTGGTCTAAATTGGTTCCTCTGATTGAAAAAAACACCCATTTAATATGTTTAGTAGTGTATTGAATAGTGTCAAATGACTGAAAAAAAAAAAGAGATTTATTTTAGCGATTTTACAAATATTTTATTTATTTGATTTATTAATGTGTATTAATATAGTAGTTGTATAAAACAAATTGTAAATGTAATATTATGTTTTATTTTAATATTATTAAATTATTAAATTTATTATTAATATAAATTGTAATTTAATATTCATGTTTTTAATTTTATATATATTTGTAATGTATTTGAAACATTTGTGTGATTTCTGTTTTCAAATATTTTTTAATATATTAATGTAATATTTATATATATTATAAATAATAAAAACTAATTATTACTATAAATACTAATATGAATTGTAATTGAATTTTCTCTCTCTCTTTC